TTATTGTTACTATAATTATTGTTATTATCATTGTTATTTTCATTATCATTACTATTACTATTACTATTGTTATTATTACTATCATTATTATTAGGCCCTACTATTATTATTATTATTATTATTATTGTTATTATTATTATTATTATTTTATTTTTTATTATATGCCTGTAAGGTTTATAAAAAGATACACGTGATGGCATGAACAGACACACATGATCAATTTTTTAAATGACGTACGCATCTGTGTGATGAAATCAGAGTCACCTTCACCAATATCTTTGGTCGAAAATGAGCAGAATCATTCTTTCTTTTGTTTACAATTGTCGTTGGCTTCATTCGTCTCACAGAGTCAGGGAGGTCTGAGACAAAACATTGAGTCATCCGCCTGACCTGATTTGCCAAGGTCAAGCGTGCAATGACTGGACAAAATTAACTCTCTCAGGTCTGGCAATGTGGCAAATGTAGCCTGATCATCGCTAACAGAGGGGAAGAAAGAAAAGTGAAAAGAAGAAGGACCCACACGTTCTTGGATTGTTGACCTTGGGACTACAAAGTCTCTCAAGGACGAAGAAACAGCTGATTCCTTCATCGACAGTTCGACAAAATTGACCATTTCCTTTTCAGGCCTGCTCCATAATCCTAAAAAATACTTTCAGATATTGACCTGCAAACTTTGGACTACATAAAGCACACTAAGAGCATGAGGCTACATTCTCCCTTTTTGCTGATAAATGAATGGAACAGGGCTAGCTATGATCTTTGCTCACAAAGAGAGCAATGGCTCAACACAGTACACATCTCTATTTTTATACAATATCTTTGAGCAGCATACATTCTGACCTTGCTTCTTGTTCAGATAACAGAGGTAGAAGTGGGGCATCCTGTCCTATAACAAGCCCCTGAATCAGAGTTCACCTAACTTTTTGTCAAAGTGGGCCAAAGAACTGGGAGAATGCTGAGTGTAGATGCAGGTGCAGGCCAGCTATAACTATGTTATATGTATGTGTGTCATGACGGTGAAATTAGACTCACTAGTACTCACAATAGTACCACCAAAGAAAGTCCTAATTTTCTGCCAACTAAGCAGTTTTTATTAATTTTAAAATTAAACATTTTTTTTTGGGGGGGGCGGGCTTGTCGATCCCTTTTATGTCCACGTAAAATCATAATACTTTGGCCTGAATTCAAATTTTATTGAAAACCTTTGAAAGGCATAAAAATGTAAATTTGCAGTTAACAAGGACACTCAAGAAGCTCTGGAATTTACTCAACTTTGGTAGCCATTTTCTTGTTAAATTTGGCTCTGACACCAGACGACCCCCCCCCCCCCCCCTCATTGTCTCCTTCAGTTGCAAATATATATCACAACTTCAATTCAAGATAGATGGGTACTATTTTTCATCAAAAGCAAGAGACAAATGAACAAGCTTTCAGACGATACATAAGCCTGTACCAATAACTCTATCTAAATTAATTTTGTAATCAATCCTGAGCACACTACAATTAAACATGAATGTAAATTGGGACGTAACACATGATTTTTACAATACAAATTTTCCTGTCATCATTATAGTGTATATATATGATAAAAGCGCTATTATGTTGCTTCTCAAGTTTAAAAGGAGGCAAAAAATTATACTGGTGGAATGCTAACAACACTCAAAAGTAAATAAAGTATGGTACTTTTGACTTTCACTAATCCACAACACAATAATATTATTATTATATAATCCATTGGTGAAAGTGTTTTAATACAACAAGAACAGTATTCATATATATACACATTTGTCTTCTTTATTATTTTTTAATCTTTTAAAGGTGAGTCTTTGTCTACATAGGTGCTAGCTTGTAACCCATTTGCCGTTATATATTATATAGGCCTAAAATCTATTTTTGCATTTTTCTTTTTTTTTTTGGTGGAACTGTTGTTTACATTTAAATAATTATTCAGTCCTATACTGGGGTGCATGAACTCTCATTCCAAACCAATGTCAGCTAAGTGAAGATCAAATTTTTCTCTGTTTTGGGTTTCACAAATTAATATTCCTGTAAAGAGCCAATTCAATTCATTGATGACCTCTGAAATCTCATAAATAAAGTGTAAGTGTTACAACCCAGTGGGTTATAATCTCTTATAAAAAAAACAAATATAATATCAACAACTTTAATTGTTGATATGTTCTAAATGGACAAGAGGGTTTCTCCTAGATTTTAAAAAAAATTTAACGTCACGAAAGTTTGTTTTTTCTAAATCATAAAATCAATTATAAAGCGTGTACAATTGTAGTAGACCAACCATCAAAAGTCTCAAAGCAAACATGATGCAAAAGAGAAAAGAAAAATGTGACAAGGAGACCAAAAAAAAAGGCAAGCGCTATTTGCAACGCCGCGTTCTGAATAGCTCCCGTGTATTCATGTGTGTATTTCTGCATGTATTTACGTGTACATGATATATTCATAATTTTGTATTTGTTTACAAGTAAAAATGTATGTTTGCAATTGTAAAACAAAGTGCCCTTTTGGAACAAATAAAAAGTGTAATAATTTATCTAATAAATAATAAAATAATAATAAGTTGTTAAACGAAGTGTATACAGACCCGGTAACCGGGAACAAAGTCACGAAGTATACAGACCCGGTAGGGGAACTCTTTC